GGTGCCATGGCCTCCGCCCACTCTCCGTGTCCTCGCTGCAGCGTCTTTACGCGTTCCTGGTCAGCACAGACTTGCACCAGGTCGCCCACTGCGAACCCGCCGCCTCCCGCGCCACTCGATGACGCAGAGGCGCTCAGGTTACCGCTGCATACCTACAACATGATAATTCCCAACTAGTAAAATTCAGAACTTTTTTTAAAACCTCAAAAACTATATTTAACTGTGTTATCGACCTTCGACGTCATATGTTTTAGTATTAATTATGATTTATTTATTGACAAGTTTAATTTTTTATATGGGCCATTGTCATCTGAATACAAAGATTAAATTAAATTATAATGTTCTCAAAAAATACGAAAGCCATTTTTTGAAGTACTTACTTAATTCAATTAATAACCTAGAACATTTTATTTTTAACTTATTCGCAATATATTCTATTAATTGCTTTAGACAGTCTTTAGAAACAGAGGAAACAAATGATACCTACTGACTTACTACGGGCTACCTACTAGCTTTGTATAATTAATTTAAAAATAATGTAGCATTGCTCATCTCTAGAGAATTCCTGTTAATAATCGTTGTTTACAAAGTAAGCCTTAAAAACAGGAAAATATAATTTTTAAAGTACAGTGCTGCTGGAATTACACTTTTATAGTATATAATAGTATTTTATAGTATGTTACTTTGTGATAATAAAGTCAATAGAATCTTGTCATTGTCAGTTATTTCAAGGTAGTGAGCTGGTGGATGTTTTTGTCAGTTTGTCACTCGCTCAGCTCCTAATAGGTATTCGGGGCGTGATGTTTAATAGATTTCGTTATTCTTTATAATATAAAGATACGATAACTTTCTAAAACTTATAAAAAAATCATTAAAAATGTAAAATTGACATCAACGCGGGTAGAGACGCGGGCGACCGCTAGTACAGCTATAAAATTTAATTAAATTTTGTGCAGGATCATTTGTTTTCCTGTTTATTGCAATTTACATGTTTATTTCCTTATAAATTCTTACGAATTGTAATTCACATTCCAACATATTATTGTGTCCTCATAATCATATTTTATCCCTATTAGACACAATGGTGGTCGCAATCACAATTGCTGAACAGGGGCTTCGTGAATTCAATTCCGCAGGTTGGGCTAAGCATGAGTACTACCAGTTTTTGGAAAACTAACAACTAAGGGTTGTAGCATGAAATCTGAAATATGTTCAATTTATACCATACACTGAACACAGAACAAACCTCTAAATGACATTGTTAGGAGATTCGTAACAGGCGAAAAGTGATTCTTGCATTCAATATACGCAATTCAACCTACGCCTTATGTTTATAACTAAAAGATTCGAGAAGACCAATTATAACTAAAAGAGATTTGTTCAGGACATACCTTGGTTAGTACAGCGGGATTAAATGTCCATCTGTTTCCACTGGGGTATGTGACAACAATGTCGTGATCCTCATCTATCCCGACTACTGTGCCGGTAGTGCCCAGACACTCGAACATGCCGTCCGTCCAACCACCGTGACCATGTTGCAGTGATTGAACAATTTCTAGATCAAGATCTACATTCACCTGAAAATATAAAAAAAGGATATTTACTTAATAATAATATAAAAAACTTTTTAATCTGCCTGTCTATCTTAACTTTTCTAGTAAATGGACTATTTAAAACTACTGGAATTTGGGACAGTATTAGTTTCTTTTATCATAGCGGGGCTAATAACAGCTCTGGCAAGTTTATGTACTATAAGTACTTCTGAATTATATGGTAGGTAGTTACACAAATAAGAAAATCATAAATTACCTGATCACCAACTTGCAACCCATGAGGTCCTGTGCGACCAGGACCCAGTTCTCCTAAAAGTGGTAAATGTTCCTTATATACATTTTGGCCTTTGACATCATTCACAACCTGAAATGGGAACAAATAAAATAATTGAATACCAGGTAATATTATTACAAATCTAATTATAATACAACAGTCATTCATAATATTTGTACAATTAAGGATAAATACAATGAATATTGGAGATCATTAATAAATAGGTACCTTTAAATCTGCCATGCCTTCAAATCCAACCCTGTAGAGATTCTTGGCACCATTGTCCCACACAACATATGCAGCAGAACGAGGGCTTGCTGCTGACCAGTCCTGAACTTCGTTAACTTTCCCTCGTCTTCCATTACCACCATCCTGATCTTCCCATTGCCAATCAACCTGGAAAAATTATATTGTATCAATGTTTTGACCTTTGGAGTCACAATAGTAAGACAATAAATGTGTGAACACTGGCATGGCTTGGGGTTCAATAAATTGATATCCAATGTATTTTTTTTATAAATAATATTTTTTTTATTTGTATTTTTTAGGGTTCCGTAGCCAAAATGGCAAAAACGGAACCCTTATAGTTTCGTCATGTCCGTCTGTCCGTCTGTCCGTCTGTCCGTCTGTCCGTCTGTCCGTCTGTCCGTCTGTCACAGCCGATTTACTCGGAAACTATAAGTACTACAGTGATGAAATTTGATGGGAATATGTGTTGTATGAACCGCTACAAAATTATGACACTAAATAGTAAAAAAAAGAATTGGGGGTGGGGCCCCCCATACATGTATCTGAGGGATGAAAATTTTTTTTTCGATGTACATACCCGTGTGGGGTATCAATGGAAAGGTCTTTTAAAATGATATAAAGTTTTCTAAAAAACATTTTTCTTAAAGTGAACGGTTTTTGAGATATCAGCTCTCAAAGTCGTAAAAAGTATGTCCCCCCCCCTCTATTTTTATAACTACGGGGTATAAAATTCTAAAAAAAATAGAGGTGATGCATGCTAATTAACTCTTTCAACGATTTTTGGTTTGATCAAATTATCTCTTATAGTTTTTGAGATAGGTTGATTTAACTGTAATTTTGGTTAAGTTATTGTGCTTACACTGAAAACGATGGCTGAACCTTATAAGATAGATCAAAAAATATACTACAGTATTGTACACCTTTAAAAATCCGCGATGATATAAAATCTTTATAATGTAGGTACTTTTTACGAGAAATATTAGCTTATTATTAATATTCATACATAAAAGTACAAGGCAAAATATCGGGAGAGTTTAGGCTCCATTCACCAGGTGTATAAATTGACATAATAAGTTTATTATATTTGCTGCTACGGAACCCTTTGTGCGCGAGCCCGACTCGCACTTGGCCAGTTTTATTTTATTATATATGTTGTTATTTTGTTGTATTGTTAATAATGAAGGGATTTGAAATCTACATGAACTCACCCCTCTAACAACTCTGGCTCCAGGGAATATGCCTCTTACTGCTTGCTTTTTACTTTTACGTCTAGGTTCAACAAGACACCTTTGAGCTCCTGGGGCACTAATGCGATAGAATCTGTGTCTAAGGTTATGTTTGTCACCATGATAGCAAACTGAACATAGATCATAATTACTGCATTCTGCACACTTCCAACGGATACCTTTGACAATGATAAAAACTTTTGAGCACAACACATATGTTATTAAGAAATAGAACAATATAAACAAAGGCACACATATACTGCACATTCAGTTTGTAATCTCTTCCTGCAGTTGTGCAACACAATATTCAACAAAACACAAGAAGAAGAAAATGAATACAAACAAAAAGGAAGAAACTGCTAGAACTAAAACTAAAACTACAAACTTACTTAATATTTTTCTGCTTCATTTAGAAACCAAAATTTACTATTATTAAAAGAAGTATTTTTACCAATACTAACCAAATATGGGTTGCTGTCTACAAGTATCACACATAGTTCCTTCATGTTTGACACCAGTTGGAGCACTGTCCAGTATGCGCAAGTCATATGCTCCTGAACATCTGTAATTGGCTGCAGTTCCATTGTCCCAAACAACAACTACTTCTTCAGGAGATTCAAAGTTCCTCACAGTACCAACATGACCCTCACCACCATCCTGCAAAAAGTTTAACATATTTATAAATAACATAGCACATTCTATATTCATTAAAGTAACAAGCTAAAACAATGATAGTATCTTTGTTTGGCAAAGTATATGTATAAATGAATTGTAATATATTGTACAAAAAGGACATGAGTACAGTATAAATAATGGTAAAATACAGTAAGAACATAAACTAGCAAACATATTCTCATAAGATTTTTGTTTACATTTAGATACTTTCACAATTCATAATAGATTCTAACAGCAAACATTTTGGTATAAATAATATACTTAATATTGTTTCATATATATTTTAAATAAAAGCTGTTCAATGAAGTTGACCATACGCATTAAAATAATAATTATTTTTTGACTTGCTGAGATGGAATCTGTCATATCTCAATAAGATCATAAAAATATATGGGTATACCTGTAAATAATTTAGGTTGTGCAATTAACAGGAACCCTTGTTATGCTTTAAGTGAAAGCAGGAATTGTTTATGATTTTAGAGAACTTTTATTTGAATATTATTTATGAAAAATAAACAGTGATCTACCTGTTTGCCCCACTTCCAATCTGGACCCCGAATTACTCGCGCTCCGACTCCTTCCATCATAAATCTGGTAGCTCTTGAAGATGTTGATGATCCAGGTAAATTAGGTTCCATTGGAACAATTTTGTTAAGTTGTATAAGATAGTAAAAACTTATATTATTCACTCCACCTAGCTTTAAAGGTAAATGTCAAAACTTTTGATTTGACAGGTACAGTTTCATTCGGTAACGTTGTCAAAATTCTTTTTTTACCGAAAGTCAAGTCAGAATAGTAAATTATGAACGAATCAATAATGGTCAATTGATAAAATTGAGCATATATGTACATTCAATACCCACTTGTTTTAAAATTACAAAATGGCTTTAAAATGTATATTAGCAGAGCAATTTTAAAATTTATTTTGCAAGATTTCATTCTTTTTTGGAAATATTTATTTATTCTTTCAAACAACCAATGATGACACTGGACAGCTGAGAATGTCAATGTCAACAGCAGTGTCAAACTGTCAAGTTTCTAATTAAATGTTTTTCGTGTTACAGGGCAGGAGGATCCATCTAAATAAAATTAGATTGCTCTTGACTTGCTTCAGTTTTCATAATTCCTTGAAATTTAAATTTTATGAACTTTGTTTGTGCTTCAAAGTCATACGGCACGGTGCACAGGTTTATTTTTATATTGGCTGCTTAGTTATTCTATTATAGCCTGATCAGTTATCAGAATAATCAGTGTCGAGCTTACATAAACATTATAACGATGTCTAACAGTCGCAATAAATATGAGAAAGCTCGAAGGCGTTTGTCTGCTGTAACATTCCTATCAAATATATCATTAGATGGGAAGATGAGAGATCCGGAGTTGATTCATATAGTTGAAAAAACGCCAAAGAAAGAAAAAATTGAATTAGCTTCAAAAGCTATCGATATTGTCAAAGATACTGCTTTACGAAACAGTGTCCGAAACAAGAACAAGACATCAAATTCAAGCCCCGTTCATCGAATTGGCGCCGACAATCATTCTGTGAGCTCAGACTCTGAACACACCAACACCATAACACCTGTGAAGGGTGTTAATACCTCTTTCATCAGAGAAAGGTATTCCAAGGTTTTCATTTTACATCATTTAATTGTAAAGTTATTAAATAATTGTAGTAATATAGCTTAAAATATCCATTTATTGCAAGAGTTAATATTTGTCATTAATTTAATATCTGTTGAATGTAAACATTCATAGCTAAAACTGATAAAAATCCATAAATCAACCAAAATCTCTTACATTTCCTATCTGCTGTGATTGTTGATAAGTAGAAAGATAGTTAAAAAGTAATCAATAATCTTTTAATAATGACTACTTTGATAAAAAGTAATGTTTAGAATAAATACCTATATTTTTATAGGAAAAGAATCTCTAAGGTGTCTCTGATAAGTTGTTGATAACATTTAATATTTTATAGATGTTCTTCGGGAACAACAGAATCATTTAAAGAAAAGCATGGCTCATCTAGATCTAGGAAAACTCACCTTGTTACCCTAACTGGTTCTAATGCAGATGAAAAAAGCAGTTCAGAAAGCCTTAACTTTGGTAAATAACCCATTGTTTATTTTATGTTCATTTATGACCTTGGTGGTTTTATAGACTTACACTTAAACTGGTAATATAATAACTTTTCAGGCAAGTTTAGAACCAGTAACACTTGTATCCCAGAACATCATGCATTAACAAAAGAGGTCCGCATGGTAAAACCCTCTAAAGGAGTTTCATTCAGGGATGAGAGATTGGCAATAGCACCAGGACAAGGTGCCCCTTGTGTAATATTCAGCACTATACCATACTCTAAAACTGTTCGCAGTGCACGGTAATGTACTTTGTGTCTTTAGTTTGCTGTAGTATTCATGATAATAAAATCTAAAATGGTACTTCCTCTTTTTAGTTCTGATCTAAGAAAAGATGGTGTTAGAAGGAGAAACACATCAGGGCCAAGACCACTTTCAGCCATTACTGACAATGGCATGGATCCATTTGACCTTCTTGGCTTAGAAAAAGAAGAAAATGGTCAAGAAATTTCATATTCAAAACTGTTGGTGCCATCAAAAGTATGCACTAGGGAGCAGTATAAAAAAATGTATGAAGGTGACTTCACTGAGAAGGCTAATTGGAAAGTTGTAAACCGTCATCCCCATGTGATAGCAAGGTAATATTGGTTTTGGTTAAATTTTAATATAACTACTGACTACTCATATGATTTTCATGACTTGTAAGTTCTAAGGAATTTATACAAGTGGTAGGATTAAATGCTTGAAATGTTTAAATATATCTGTTGGAAGTCTGATATTGATATCATTTGTAAAGCAAAAACCTTCTAGATGTTACACAAACCATGTGTTGTGCATGTTATTTGAATGTTTTATCCTTTCAATGAGTGTCCACCTTCTCCGTCTAAAACTTTTTTTTCGTGTGATTAGGTCTTCCTACATCAACAAATATCATAATACCAATAAAAATTAGAAAAAGCATATCCAAAAGGATGTAATTTATCTTTGTATTGTTGTCTTGGTGTTATCTTCATGACTTCTACATAACAGCATTTACAGTGTGTTTAGTTTACATGTCTAAACTAAATAAATAACTCATTTATTTATCAATATTAGATCTAAATGGACTCAAAATGTTTATAAATATGATGCAGTGCACTTCATATCTTACATTTATTTATCAGTTATTAATACAAACATTTACACTACCACATGTTCACAAACATTCACTCATAACTATCTTACATACATTGGTACTTGCATACCTTACTATTGAATGCATTTTGAAAGTCATATGATCTTCACAATCATTTCATCACTAACAAATTTGACTTTCAGGACTAAGTTATTGACGAGGCACAAGGATAAAAAATGGTAAACACTGAACAGATTAAAATCTGCTATGCAACACTTAGATTTTGCTAATGCTATTATGTCCCTGCTAAAACTATGGAGTTGTGTCTGTATATTTCACAATATACAGTAGGACGATTTGTATTTTTATACTGCTTAGTTTTGGTTAAGTAATCTCATTGCCAGGTTACATTAAGTGTTGTGCAGTGAATATTTTTATAGCTTGATATTTGGGAGTAATTGGTTTCTAATGATAAACTTCAGTTAACTCTCCATTCACCTTGTACTATGTAAATCCATATTACAATGACTAATTTTGTAAAACTCACCTCACCCACTAATCATGGAAATCCATTCAATAAACCTGGCTTTGATGTGATTAAATTCACAGCTATAGTATGATTTTATACAGAGATTGCATGAGTATATTGGGAATATAACATATAAGGTGGCGAGGTTCGAAACACAATTAACAAGTACAACCTATGTATTTAGAAGTTTAGAGCATGTTATAAAACAACATTTAACTAACTAATTATTAAATGCATGCTAATTTATTTTTTCTGACATCAAAATAACAAGCCTGCACAACTTTGGAATATGATATTTCAAATAATTACAATTGTAATCTTTTTAGGTGCTTTTCTTATGAATCATCTCAGAGGACTGCAATACCATCATCTCCGCCGCACTCTTCAGTGGATATGAAAACCTTTGACTGGGACGAAGGAACGTTACTCTCGCAAAAATATGTATGTGTACTTTACTTGCTGTACTTTATTTTTTCATTTATGTCAATGCGACTTTTTAAAGTTTATTACATCAACTTATAAAAGATAATACAATATACAAAAAATAATAATATAATCAATATAAATTATATTTTGTTTTCGCAAAATGCCGTTAAAATTTTCAACATCTGCGATTATATCACAGTTTGGGTGAGGCTGTTCAACGCGAGGAATCACTTATTACTTAGAGTTAATTTTGTTACAGGTTCAATACTGCCCCAATGTATTAGATGACCCAGAGCTCATAGCTGGCAAGCACAGAACTCTGCTGACGTTCACATCTTACATGACCTCTATCATTGACTACGTGCGGCCACAAGACCTCAAAAAGGAACTAAATGATAAGTTCAGAGAGAAGTTCCCTCATATAAAATTAACTCTCAGTAAATTAAGAAGGTAAGTTTCTAACAATTGACTACTTACCACTATCTATAGATATATCTAACAGCTATCACTTTCTTTAATATTTTGCTTGATAATTATGACGCTAAACGCTGGGTAGCACGGTTATCGACTAAATGACACTATAATATGCTTTATTCTTAAGCTGCACTTCCTATGACCTGGGTTGCAGGGCATTTAAAGTACCGCCGCCTCGGCCACGAGGAGCAGTAGAAGGAAAGAGGGGTTTTTAGTCAGTAAGGGTCTGACACTTGCTGTCGCCTTACCTTGGGTCTATGTCATTTGATTGTTCTTCCCCACCAAAAAGCTATATTTCCTATAATTGTTATCTTGGTATTTTACGTTAGTCAAAAAGCTAATTATGATGTAGTTTCAAATAAGCTGAATACTAATCGTACCTCTTTTACAGCATCAAGAAAGAAATGCGAAAAATTGCGAAACACGACAGCGGTGGTGTTGATTTACTATCAGTCGCACAAGCATATGTATACTTTGAGAAATTGATCCTTGCAAATCTCATTAACAAAGACAATAGGAAATTATGTGCTGGGGCGTGTTTACTGTTGTCTGCGAAACTAAATGACGTGAAAGGAGAAGCTTTGAAGGCGCTTATTGAGGTAAGACAGTAACTACTTATTTTTATTAGTCTGCCACGACATACCTACCTATTTTCCCCACGACATACCTAATTACCTTTTCTCCAGTTTTGTGTAAATTAAATATTATTTATCCTTTCAGCGCATCGAAACTACATTTAGAGTTAATAGGAAAGATTTATTGCGTTTCGAATTCGCAGTACTAGTGGCGTTGGAATTCGGATTGCACGTGCCTCCTTATGAGGTGTTCCCGCACTACCAGAGATTGCTCCACGATTCGTGACCTTGGCGCAGACTGGCCTTCGAGCCATGTATACGGGTGTGTCACAGAAGACGTGCCACTATTGTAGACAATCTAAGAGCTAGTGCCTGGATGTAAAGTGTTCATTGAAATTAGTACAATGTTATAAACATTGTGGGTATTCAAGAAGTGAGTAAATCGGAAATCTACTAACAGAATATTCTTATAAAATGTAGTCCTACTTTCTCACAGATTATGTAAATGCGGCGACCAAAAAGTGAATTAACAGGCAAAATATAAAAACATAGCTTAGTGTAGTGAAGGTTAAGTCTCGTTAGAGACTCTAATTGAGTACCTAAGGAATCTACATTGTAAAGTTTAAAATTAAACAACTAAGATATATCTTTGCTAATATTTTGTATAGCTTAGTGTTTATGTATTTTGTAGGAAGTAAATTACATTAGTTAATTAATTAATAAGTATGATTTCACTTAATAATACATCGAAATTATAACAAGGCATGAGGCACTAAATGATTGTTTAATAAAATACTGGTCCATTAAAATCTAGTAAGTACATATTTTATTATATGTAGTTGTAATATGTAAGTAGATCGAATTCAACTAAATGTAAAGGTAATGCTAGCTATTTTAATCTATGACTAAAAATATTTTAGAAGTATTTTATCATAAACTAACTACTATTTTTTTAAATCCTCTTTTCCAGCAACACCTAGTATGCTCCTCCTAATTGACTAGTCACGCCATCGTAATGCTCAAGCTTACGTTGTAATATAGTTTGTAATGTAATGTAATAGAAAATAATGTAAATAAACTCATTGGCCCCAATATACTCGTAAATTGTTAAAAATAATAACATATTAATAATATTTATTTGGCACTAAAAGTGTGAAGGTGAATTATTAATTAATAATTATTATTTGAATTCTGACCGCATGATGTTGCTCAACCAACTATGTTATGAAGTAAACATTAGCGAAGTGTAGATACAGTATTAAATAATTAATAATGATCTTAAGGCGCTGCTTCAAATTGTTATTGTACATATTTGATCCTGTTCTCCCTAGCATCAACACCTCGCCAACTTAGGTAAATAATAAATTTAATAAATTATATTATAGCCAAATGATGCAGCTGTGATATGAACACATGTATTTATCTATCTTAATAAGCTAAGCTAAGTAAATAAGTTGTCATGAAGTTATTTATTTTCGTTACATTTGAGCTAGAGTGCGAAACATATAGGTGTAAGTGTTACGTTATTTTTATTATTAAATAGATACCTAAATGGTGTGCAATAAAATGTTTGTTTTAATAAATTCTTGGTAATATTATGATATCATGTTTTATTTATATCCAATCTTAACTTATATTTAACACAAAGACTGTAGGTGTATAGGTTTTGCACTGCACTCACTTCTTTCTATATTATATTAATCTCTCTTCTGGTCTATATGAGACACAGTAGAAAATATATTGTCTTTCTTGGATCTGGAATACATGAATGAATACATCTAACACAAGTTAGCTATGTATTCCCATTTTTATGTTCTAAAAATAGGAATACATAGCTACCTTGCATGTAGCATATATCCGTAATTAGCTTAAGTATTGCCGAATCACAGATATGTATAGATGTAGTAACTAAAATTAAACGTTTGCAGGTACATAGTTATAGTGTAAAATATAGTGTTTGTGGGTGAAGACAGGTGTGCTACCGCTGTCTACGCTTGACGTGCTGCAAACTGAACTACACGCTTGAAAGCGCGCTCTAAATGTTGTTCCAATAAGAAATAACTCAAGTAACTGATAGGTATACTTTCTTACTAGTACTAAATACCTTGCTGAATATATTTTAGTGCTAACTTGGTAGATAGGTATCCACCTACCTATCTTTGGATAAATATTGCCCAAGAAATCGACAGCCGTCCTACTCCTCACTTAAACCACCACGCTATACGTCACAAATCTACAAGAGCAATTATTCTAAAATATGTCTTAGACATCGTGCGTTTGATTTTTGCAGTATAGGTATTACACAAATAGTTGAAAATTAGCTAATAATTTCTCCTGCCCTGGATAAGGCGAGAGAGTGTATTAGACTAACTGACTAAACCACCTCTTTCATACTCCTGCTCCGAACCGGGGCCGCGTTACATAATAGCGCTTGCACCGTCAACCCCATTAAGGGCTATAAATGTATAATAGGCCCGCACTTAGGTACATCCTTGAAAATTGTCAATACAGAATTGAAAACAACCGAATTAAGGACCTCCTCCTTTTTTTGAAGTCGGTTAAATATATAAATATGACAAGATTCTACAAGAAAAGTTCTAATTTAGTGTATTCTATACTTAAAATAATAAAAACGCTGATATCTACCAGTTTACACAATGATTATTTGGATCACTGAAATTGCTTTAACAATATCGCAGGTACCACCTATGTCCTAACTCGTCCGCTCCACATTGTAGAAGTTGAAATAGCCGATTATAAGTACATGTTTTATTCATTCTAGTTTAGAAATAAAATAGTATTCGTGCCTCAATCACGTAAAGAAATCGCTGTTTAGTGTAAAATGAGTGTTAAGGTAAATATTCTTATTTAAAAAGAGGAACAAAAATTTTTCGTGGTAAAAGGTAATCGATTGATCATTCAATATGTTTTCTTTTAAGATATCAATTCCTTGTGCGGTATTGTGTGTTCTGACATTGTGCTATGGCCATGAAAATACAACAATGCCGACATCAACACAAGCTCTAGCAACGACGGTGACGGCGACGACGCTTAGTGATTCAAGTGAAGCGAATGATTCGGCGTCTGACGAGTGGATCTCAAACGACAAAGACCTTGATCAAGATGCTACAATATGGCGGTTTTGGAGACCGTTCAGGAAATTAGGTCAGTTCTATATTTGAAATTGTTTTCAGTATTTTTTAATTGTACTTACCTATCATTCATTGAGCGGTTGTAAGTGCGATTACTAAACGTTGGAATTCGGATTAAAATCTCAATTTGGGGTAAGTACCTAGACCATTAGTGGGTAACTTTATAGTTTTTCAACTAACTTTTCTAAACTTCGCAAGTACCTACTAAGGTAGAAGTGTCTGAAAGTCGAATAATTAGTAATAAATATATTCTTAGTTCACAAATCTAAAGTCATAAGTTAGATTTTTCAATGTTACCTTCTTATGTAAGTAAGTTCTTAGGGGTGTGTATCTAGAAGATAAAGACAAATCTTTCCCAAAATTAGTATGAAATGTAGATAAAAAGTAACATTTGATACGGTAAAAAATTATCTGTCTTGTGAAAAAGTAAAGGCATAATTTACTTTGCACAAACTATTGTGTTAAATTCCGAAAAAATAAAATACTTAAAATCTCCCGTTTTCATCACAAGCATATCTAGCAGCATATACATGAATTAGTTGTTAAAATAATAACAAAAAAACCACGCGTTTAAGTATATTTCCTCGTATCGTGTTGATAAACAAAATCAATGACCCAAAAGCCGATATTATTGTGTTTTTACCCTTTAAGGTAGCCCAAGGTTCCATCATCTAATTAGTAGCTTGATTTCGTAACACGTTGAGATAAAAGGATAGATTTGAAAAATACTTATCAACAAATAATTCCCATAAGTAGGAGGGTGGCTCAAATAAATCCATAAGTAATATATCATAATGTAGCAATAGTTTTACAAAATAGGTATCGTACGCCGTTTCTGCGCAACGTGACTTGAGAACCCAGACATATACGTATGTTTAATGTTGTTGATTATGATTAAAACTAGATGAAATATTTTGTTAAAAAAATTATCTGAATTTGTCGATTTCTGGAATTGGATTATTTAGAACCAATAGACGACACCACAATTTGAATTCTGTAAAACATCAAATTTTAATGAATTTTGCTGTGCATCATAATAATTGACAAACATTGCATTTTCTTCCCTTTTTTTAAAGGCACTTATCAACCTTCTTCTTCTTGATTCATCGTAAATCCATTTTTGTTAACCTTATCAAACACTAGGTTTTCCTTGGCGAACATAGTGAGAGTCAAAAGTGCAATTGCACTTTACTAAAGTGTCAGAAGTTCCTTGACTGATTAATTTGTAGCATAGATTCTAAAGTAATTAATGACAGGTTTTTAGATTCTTGAACTTGTTTATCAAAGAAGTTTTACACATTTTCGCATTGGTGGAGTGCAACTGCACTTGATTAGGTACCACAGCCGGGGTCGCGGTGTAGGCGCAATAAGGCATTGTGGCCTCGGCCTAGAGCATGTAAGAGTCTGACACTTCCTCTTTTCTCACCCTAGGCGGGAGAAGCCATTTGATGATTTTCTCCTAACAAAACGTTGATTATTGACCTAAGTAGTGTTGTCAAACTTTAACAAAAACCTTAAAATAAGATCATAAAACTTCACAACATAATCATGTTATGAGAAATTCATAAAACACGAGTCTACTGCTTATGTTTTATTTTCAGGTGAATCAATTTTAAATAAAAAGTTTGCACGTTCCCCTACCTTGAAGGAGAGTGGACACCGTGGACTACGCTATCATCAAGACAAACCCAATCGCAAATTAAAAAATAAAATAAAATTCCTTTTTAAAATAAAACAGTTTGAAATGTGAGTCTTTTTATTTTTTTATAAACTATGGATAAATAATAAGTAAATTGGTTATTGAGTGGCGTAACGGGAGATGGCATAAGATAAAGTACTTATTAAATGAATTACATAGAGAGCTCTAAAGTCTATAATTAGAGAAAGCCTGAATCTAGCCCTAATTTTAAAGAAGTTTTCAGAACACGAAATACTCAAGGCCGAATAAAGAGTTTTTGACTTTGTCTTGTAGCCGGGTTCGATATCATGACTGCCACCATGACAAAACCAAGTGCAACATTACGTTGACCGCTGCAGTTAGGTACAGTCGACAAACAAATACTGGGCGACCACCACTGTAGTCCATACTCGACATGAAAACGTCATTTTTGGGGACATAGGTACTTACATTTAGTTTCTCGTCGTTTTGTGGTCATACAGCAGTTATCTACAGGAACCTTCATAAAAAGACTTCAAATACATCGTCTAGGATTTAGGACATACCTACCTACAATGGCGGGCGTAAATTATAACCACAGATTATCTACTATAAACTAGTCAGAATCATAACCATAGCTGAATTATTTAACTTTCATCCTTAGTCGCAAACTTTCGTCGTAGGCGTAGGCAGTTGTCCATTTTGAAAAATGACAGCTAGTGTCATTTTCAGTCATTGTTAGCTACCTTCGATTTGACAAACAAACACGGATTCAATATCTATTTGTTTTGCTTTGAGACTAACTATTGAAGAATACATAAATATATATCTTAAGCAGTTTTAATTTTCTTTGCTTTTAATCTTATTTATTATTTTAAACGTTTTATACCAAATAATTTATTCAGAATGTTTTACGTGGATTCTCAACGAACGGTCACACGCCGTGAAAGTTCCTTAGTGGTGAATAAAAAGACAGGCCATGGGCATGATATGGATTTTGACGTATGGTCTACACTACATGGCCAATCTACTGTCCCGCTTAATAGTGATTCTTCGGCCTCTATATCTCTCAATAATCGACCCAGAGGTTCCATCCGAAAGGATTTGATTGCAATGATGTTCGACGCCATGTTGGAAAGCATTGTAGAGTCGTGGGAAACCATTGCTATGAAGGGAGAGCATAGCTCTCGTTTGGATTTGGGCACTAAGACAGCTAGTGAAACAACCGTGACGGGTGGAAAAAAGAAAAAACCTACAAGTTAGTCACACACTTGAAATTTTCATTTTATCATTAGGTAGACCAATCTCGAAATGAAAAGTTTACAAGCATTAGATATGTACTTAGGTAACTATGCGAAAAATTCTGATTAGAGACAAAATAGAAAAATTAAAATTCCTAAATAGGTTTTCTCTAGGTTTCGTTATTTTTTACATTTTATTGTGGCAATGTCGTCCCAAAGTAAAAAAACATACAATACATTTAAATGTTTTCAGCAAAAGCATCTAGAAGTAAACGAAGCAGGTCGAAATTAGAATTCGAGGTAAATAAAATTTGTTAATATACATATTTTGATAATTACCTACGCACGATTTCGTGTGGAAATTTATTTTCAGAAGAACCTAAGTTATGGTAGTGTCTATCCATCGATCTCGATCACGGTACTCATGGTAGCCATTGATGGCCAGACTGAATAACTACAGGCTCTTAATTACCTTTTACTGACTGGACCACATGCAGTCCAACGACACGAGTAATGAGAGATCCAGCAAAGGAGCAACATCAAAAAATTTACAATTTTATAAAGAATATTAGCATTAACACATCAGCCACTGCGCTTACCGTGCTTTCCTTGAAATCCTTTATTTAAAACTTTAACTTAACTTTACCGCTACAGGTACCTAAATATTATCTGCTTTACCTTCGACTTCGTCTACACAATAATCAGGCACATGTAACAATGACCTCAGAAATATCCTACCTAGGCGCATCCAATAATAGCTAACAGAAAACCTTCACTTTTTTAATAAGTGCTACCTAATTAGTCTAAAGGCCTGTATCTCAGTGCCTGGATATCCACTTTGTACCAGGTTCTTGTATGGATCGGATTATAGAACCCAATTTGTATGTACTATACTCCACAAAAGTTTAGTGGGTACTTATATGAAGGTGATGAAAAGGCTTAAAGCTAAAAATATGTGTGTCACGTAACAAGAAATGTGAGTTATACTTAGGTTCTTACTTACACACTAAATAATGTCCTGCGATCACGTAACTTCTATATTTGTCTTGACAGCCACATATTGACTGCATTAAAACGATCTGGTGGTCGGGAATGGATGAAAAGGCAGTTGTTCGATTTAAAAACGGCAATTTGTACGAAGGAGACTTGTCATCTAAAAGTATGCATGGAGAAGGTCGATTTGTTTGGGCTGACGGAACTGTTTACTTGGTGAGTAGAATGAGTAATATCACATCATAAAATATACCTGTTGTTAGCGTATCTGTTACAAACTGCACGTACAGTTCACATTTAAGAAGAATATTAGGGAATTGATAACTGAATTGATGCATTAAATTTGCTGAGGCCTAATAGATGTTTGGGATGCAGTACTAGTATAGTACTAGTACTGTACGACAGCCCCTAAGTACCATTCACTTAGGGGCTGCCGAAAAGATACTCAAATCACATGTGTTTAGTCAAGCCGCCTCTATGCTTTACTTTATATGTAAATGTAATCTGTGGTCACCCGCCACGATGAACCAATCAGAGCGCAAGGTCACTACGTACCTTTTGTTGTATTTTTAATCTCTCTAGCTTAGGTTTGAATTATACTACACTAGCTACTCTCGCGCGGTTTCACCAACTGCTCCTTATCCTAGCGTGATGTTTTATAGCCTATACCACTCAGGAACATTGTAGCCATCTATCAGTGAAAGAATTTTGGCAATCCGACCAGCAGTTCCAAAGATTATCCCCTATATACAAACTTACAAATTTTACCTCTTTATAATATTGGTATAGAAGTATAGATTATAATATTAGTATAGATAAACGCCGGGATATTTCAGTCGTCGACGTAGTTAATTAATTCGGATGACCGAGCCTTGCCGGCGTCATACTTAAGTAATTTTCTTAAAATGAAACCTCTCCGAAACCTTTACCTGCTAAATTTCATAGAAATATATAAGAATGTATACAAGAACAGCTGGTTATAGGATTACTTTATTGGCTAAGCCATGCTTTCTGACTAAAGTGTTAACTACTTATAGTTTGTGAACCCTTTCCGTTTGGCCCACTTGCTTATAAAATCCCCGGTGTACGCCTACGAAAAAAATAAAAGGGAAATTCCTGCTACGCGCTACGAACGTGCTACGAGCAACGATTACTGCCGTAGCCTTATTCCGTTTTGGAAACATTTTACATGAGGTTTATATGTATATTTTAACGTACAAAATCTACAGGTTTAAGTAATTACTTATGTAAATATTTTATTTTAGGGCCAATTTAAAGATAATAAAATAAATGGGAATGGTACACTTCAGTGGAAAGATGACACGTGGTATCAAGGTGAGTTTGCCGATAACCTACGGCATGGCAAAGGTCTGTATGTGGATTCGCGCACCCAGCGCTCCTACATGGGCAGCTGGCACTTCGGAACTAAACATGGAGATGGAGCCATTTACTATTCTAATAATTTTAAGAACTCATATGATGGTAATTGGATACATGTGAGTACATTATAACGTACTTATTATTTATTCTCGTGTAAATCGCAGCTTATACACCTCACGATACGTAGATTAACTACACTAGACTCACGGAATACTATGGCGAGCTGTCATTCAATGGAGGAGATAAAGGAGTAGGTATTTGTTCAGCAGTAAACGTCTTCCGGCTGACGATATTGATAATTCTCGTATCAACATTTTGTACATAGATACATATTAGGTGAACAGAATAAATTATAAAATCGTTCCTTAACTAGGACGGTAAAAGTAGCAACCAACTGGCAAAAGTGTGGTCAATGTCACACACCTCTGTCCTAATGTTTTACTGTCATGTTTTTATAAATACTGATTTTATACTTACATGTTTTATGTTAATTTTGAAGAATGAACGATTCGGATATGGTTCCCGAGAGTACGATGAATCAAGTGGATATAAAGGACATTGGGACAGAAATATTAGGCAAGGAAAAGGATTGATGATATGGCCAAATCATGATGTAAGTTTTATATCTACTACTCATGGATATATTTTGCTATTGAACATCGTATGTTAGGTACCTGGAAAGTTAGCCGGCTTTAAGTCAAGGGTCAAGACGTGCAATAGTGTATCACAGTTTTTGGTCAGTTAATGTGTCACCATGTTAATATGTCCCTCTCGCCCCACACAGGGCTAGAGAAGACACTTAATGATTTGCCCCTTCATTAAAAGGTATATAGATAGTTAAACTCATAATCTACAGGTAAAAGATTAGAGCATTGTGAATGTCGTATGTATAATATTTGAGTCCTTTCGATGGGCTACTTAGTGTTTGTACTTCTATTTTTACAGGATTTTTACTTTCACTTGTCTGTTTCACTTATAATATGTTTTTAGTTTTACCGTGGTGACTGGCAAAATGGAATTATGTCCGGTTACGGGATTTATATATGGGAAGCTTGTTATAATAACACAATGGCAGTGCCATCTATGAATGCATTTTGTGGTACATGGGAGAAAGGTCAACGCCATGGCTATGGTATTCTCCACTTAGGATTGGGCTTAGGCTCGCATTACAAAGGCGAGTTTAAAAAAAATAAGAAGCATGGTGTAGGCAAGTTTGTCACGAACAATGGATTAATTCTCCAAGATAAAAACCTTTTCGTTGATGACAATATAACACCAGCGGTTGGGGCTGAAACAAGATATATGCAGGATGCCAGGAGATCTCTTTCAATCTATCCTTTTGGCCACGAACCACATTCATTTGATATATGCGACAATAACGTTGGACTCAATTACCATGTCGACGAAGCGTTTAAAAATTTAGATAAACGCGATGAAATAAGAAATAGTATAATCGTGGAGTACATGGAAAATAATAAAATTTTAGATAGAGAACTTTCAGAAATTCTTGGAAATCAGGAAACTGCTTCAGAACAAGCAATGAGAAAAGAAAAAATTGACACGTTGATTGAGTTTGAGGAAACATCGCTGCGAAATTGTTTAAAATGCTACGAGACTGAATTGTTGAACATTTACTACAAATATGCTACCATTTGCAATACTGAAGAAATAGGCTTTACACCTGTGTTAATTCGCTTGTATTTATGGCAATTATATTATGACTGCAATGTCCACGAGCGAGGCTTAACACTCGTTGAAATTGATAGGATTTATCACCAGAATCCTGAATGGCTTGCAAGGTCTGCCCATAACCCATTTGAAAAGGTTTATTATTGGCAATTTTTACATAGTCTAATTTCAGTTGCTAGAAGGTTATATCCAAAAAGAAAATTGCCTGGTGGTAAGCCCGATACAATGATAGCAAGCGCGTTCAGAAATTTTATGGATATGGATGTTATTCCGGGAACTAGTCGCCAGAAAGGTAAAAATCATTTCTCGTTTCTATATAAGGTTTGTGAAAATATTGGTACTAAGACGTTGACCTTGATTTTAGGCCACCTCGTAAATGGTTTCGGTCATTTTGTACCATTGAGAGCAACCTACGACCTTTATCGCAGTTTGGGAGAACCGCATAGTGTGCGTACATTTTTGCGCGCTGTGCGCCGGCCACCACACTCACATCACCAACCGGCTATTGTTGAAGTACCCGATATATGCCTGCCATTAGGGAGGAACGTTTATATATTTGGAGATGATTTGTCCTTTGTTGTTGGTACTTAAATATTTTTAACTTAACTACATTATTATCACATTGCATTGGAATAACTTTATATTTACTGCAGTTTGAGCAGTGACTAGGCGACCGGCTACAAATTAACGAGTCGCGAGTTCGATTCCTGCACGGAGCAATTAGTACTTTGGGGAATCAGACCAGTGTGTCAACTGAGCAGTCAATTGTATTATGATTTCCAAAGGCTACGCAGACTGATAGATATTTTCTATTGACTAACATGCATTCTTGTGTTATGCGAATTCTCCCCTTGATAATATTTATGACCAGGATATTTACTAAGGTTGTGTCACTAATTTAGTAAATAAACGGACTGATAAGAATGAAAAACTAATTTGAATTTAATATTTTCCAGATGATAATGAGCTTCCTGATCTTTATGGATTACCGGAAAATGTTGAGAACTTAAAACTGTTCAACTTTGGTAACTTATCAAGCAAGACCATTATAAAAATATTTGCTAAAATATTTCCGCAATTATATGAACAAAATAAAATAATGAATCTAGACATAGAACTTTCGTTCTTCGAATTTTTTGAAGCATTCGTTTCGTGTGCTGAAGAGAGCATTCGTGTGGCAGATGAAGAACGTAAATACAAGGAAATGTCTATGCATAATGAAAATTTAGTACCGCCGGGTACACCAGCAGGATACGGTGCAAAGTTCAAGTAAAATATAATGAAAATTTGCAAGTAGGTAAGTTACTCCGGTGTTTTTATTTTAGTAAATATGTATTTCCTAAGAAAAAAAAGTAAGTAGGTAAGGTAGGTATCAAGTTCGGTGCGTTGTTATGATTAGTTAAGAGAGCGTGGTTTCAACTACCAACTGCGTAGCAAGTGTACTTGCATTAAAAACAATAATTCAGCTGTGATGTAGGTTCCAATTTCTACCTACACATTGTTAATTATTTGTCACCAACAAGGGTTTTATAGGTCCATTCATACACATCAAGTTCTATTATAATTCAAACAGAAGGTAAATAAAATAACAAGAAAGCAAGAGATAATAGTACATGCTCGAGGGTATACAGTGGGTCTCCGAGCACAGGTTCTAGATGCCAGAAGATAAGACTATGCATGCGACGCTGTGCTAGCAAAGGCATAAAATTGTGAGGCAGTGGTTTTGTAAGACTGCAATGTCCCAAAAGGAGTGTGCCCAGTCGCAAGGGATCCAATCCCGCTCGCAGAAGACATCGACGAGGCATATCTGCCTCGACGCCCAATATATTCTGCCTAAATCATAGCAATGCGAAAGGTCAATAGCACATATAGTGGGATGTGCACATATAGTGGGATGTCTAGGGTATAACTCAAATTACTAACTAAATACGTGCTGTAGATGGTACAGTAGGCACGTGCTACCATGTACAGTAAGGCTCAAAGAATGCATTTAGATCTTCATAGGTAAATATTTAAGCAGGCGTTGCACCTTGGGGACTTCGGAGTTGGACTATTGAGAGGACCCGGTGTTCCTTACACGTATTGGTGGTGGCTACCCTAGTGTTTTACTGCTAAAAACTAGGCACATATAGAAGGTTTCCCCAGTCAACAAAAAATAATTAGATACAAATACATAAAACATGTACTAAGTATTATAAATATTTACCAGAATATTAATGGTAAATGGCAGGGGCAAGGACCACGGCTCCATGGAGTTATAAAATTGATATTATAATAAAAAACCCTACATATATGTAAGTACATATCTATAATCATTCATACAAAATACTCGTAAGCCCTAGCTCGTAGTTAATAGCGCGTAGTTCATAGTGCGTAGGTCGCGTAGCGCGTAGTTCGTAGAGCGTATGTCGTAGCGCGTAGTTCGTGGAGCGTAGGTCGGAGCGCGTAGGTCGTAGCGCGTAGGTCGTAGCGCGTAGTTCGTAGCGCTTAGTTACTAACGTAGATCGTAGTTCGGAGTTCGTAGCGCGGAGTTTGTAGCACTTTGTTGGCAATGCTTTTTGTAGCTCCCTGATTACTTTATTCTCTGATTACTTATAGTATGTAGTAATCTGTAGTATCATACGAAAGGTTTTTCCGCTAAATAAACAAATAAAAAGGTTTGTAGGTATTTTTTTTGTGAAGGGAAAAACATCAAATGACTTCTCCCCCACACAGAACAACAGGTTACTATGCGTGATCTCTGTATGAGATAAGCAGTAACAGTTTAGTAGGTATACTTATTAAATAATCGTGGTACCTATTGTGGGCAAACTTTAAAAAAGAAGGAAGAGATAACAAAAAGAGAAGCAAATGTCGTTAAGTGAAAGAATTATACTAAATACATAACAGAAAAGTCATCATCATCATCATCATCATCATCATCAGCCCATAAGTGCCCACTGCTGAGCAAAGGCCTCTTCTCACACGGTGAAGGTTTGAGCATGAATCACCATGCTTGCTCAATGCGGGTTGGCGATTTCAAACTTATAATTAGAAATTATAAGTCCAGGTTTCCTCACGATGTTTACCTTCACCGTATGTCAGAGGTGTCTAAATAATCATAGAAAGTAAATATAACTTGGCAAGTTACGTTGGTGCTTGCCAGGTTTCGAACCTACATCTTCATGCATAAAGCAAAGCAATGCTCCTTAACCTCCGGGCCACCTCGACCTTAAAAGAAAAGTATTTTTCTCAATTGCATTAATACTTTTTGTACCTACAAATGACGCTGACGTCAAATATGGTCAAAAATTTGACTTTTGTCATTGAAAGTTCAAAATATTTTTATTATTACAAAAAATTGTTTAATTTTGTAGTGCTTACGTAGTGCTAACCTACTGGTCTAGGTTTTCTTATTCTGCAAAAAATGAGAGCTCGGCATGCAACAGCAAAAAAACCGCAACAAATCTTATTTTCGAAGAATATATACAGTCCGAAAACCAAAGTTGAGAACTGGAACTTCGCTACACTTGCTGAGAAAAAAGATAATTATGTGTATCGCGACCAGCTCAGTAACCACACGAGCACATACAATCGTTGGGGCGATAATGATCAAGGAACGGGCATGACCGAAACTCGGCACATGCTCGCAGAAATATTTACCAAGACTGATCCAATTTATTCCTTTAAACCACTGGTTAATTTCACGTCTTATCCATGCACGGAGTAAGTAGAATCTGAAATTCAAACATTATATTGTTGTTTAAAAAATTGTAAGTTATAAATAACTTACATAGATACCTAATATGAAGTTGATACGAACTATAGGTAGAAATTGTGAAATGTTAAATTAGTCATTATCTTCAGAAGAAAGTTTTATATAGTAGGTAGATACTAGCCAAAGATTACAGGCAGAGTCTATTAACGCTTACGCCCGCGTGGTATGTTGATAAAAAGTAGCCTATGTCCTATTCCTGAGTGTATCCTATGCCTATGCCAATATTTTTTCAAATCCGGCCAGCCGTTTTACCTTGATTTAGTATCAAACATCGTTACTTTCGCATATAATACTATTAGTAAGATAGATCCTGCCTGCCTACTAAATACTGAGTAGGTACTCAGAATTTAGGAAAACCAAAAACTAGTTTGCGCAGACTGGGAAGGTACCTATACTAAGACTTTTACTCGATACCATATTCTTGAACGTTCTAAATAAATTCAAGGCTCGTTTCCATTATACCCTACGTGTCTTTTAGACAGTGCAAGTAAAATTTTGCTTTAATAAAGGGAAGACTTGGATCGAGTAAAAGGGGGTTAATATTACTTGCATCGTGAAGGGGCTGTTATTAATATTAGATACTCAATTTATGTTTTTGTTTTATGTCGTGAAGTACTCCAGGGCGAAACAGGTTAATGAAGGATGCCGATTTAGCGCAACTGCCTCCAGATTTTGGAGTAATGGATTACATATCTACTCAACAAGACGATTATAGAAATCCTTATCCATCTGTGACTAAACCGGTACGTACCTACGCTACTTGCACACGGCTAACTGAGATGATTCTTTCTTTTTTTTTTAATATACTTTCTCCCACACTACGATTTTCTTCTGTGTCGTGGGTTCCTTTGCAAACACACAAATTCGCATACACAAGCCACCCAAACCCGAAACAACGATTTGTGGATCACAGTGTTGTTCCGTGCGGGATCCGAATATTATTATTATATTATTATAATAATATAATATTATTATAATACCTACTTGCTGAGCCTTTTTTATTGTCAGAGGAAAATCATCAAGGCTTTCCCGCTCAGGGTAAGGCTAGAGGGAGTGTCACTCTTACTGACTTAACCCCCCCCCCCCCCGTTCCTTCTCCTGCTTTAGGTCGTGGCCGCAGTGCCTCATTGCGCTTGCCCCGTAACCCTTGTAAACATAAGCCCTGTAGGGACCCGTCTATGGTGGTCTATTGGCTCTTTGAGGCGCGCGCGGAACGCTACGCGCCGTACGCTCTGGTCTGGTTCTGGTCGGGCGGCGAGCTACCTTTACTCGCCGTCCGAAGACCCGTGCTTACGGTGGCCGGAGATCATCTCTCGACCTACTTGTTGACCCTGAGAAGTTACTTGGTACTTACCATAGATAAAGTCTAAGGTGGTCGCACGTCTACCTACCTACGTAGGTCAAGAAAGATATCTGTGGGGCTGGTAGTATGCTTGGATGGCAGGCTATGTACAGTGACAAAATAAGCAGACTTGACAATTTTTTTCAGTTGATGATGTCTTCTCCGCCCTGGCTGCTCAACAGGGTGATTCGATCGGACCTCACTCACAACCACGGCACAGCACCACCGCGTGGCGACTATCAGTGTCTGGACACACACACGCCTATAGGTCACATACGTGAAATGAGATTATTCCGTTACCAATCATTTGATCCCTCAACGTGTCTTCAGAATTTCCCCAGTTTTGAGAAATCTTTGGACACTAATGAAACTAAGAAAATATGAATACATTATTTTATTAAAATTATAATCATTCAATCTCAAAAATAAACGAAAATTAAATCAAACAAACAAAAACATAATAATAAGAACTTAAACCTAGGCATGCAGCAGTGTGGCTGCACATAGGTATGTAGATATAAACATTAATTAAATGTTTTTCTGAAAGTCTTTTAAAGGAAAGCAATATTTGGACAAATTGGTTGTTTCTTCCAAAACAAGCACATGTTTTGTAACTAGCTCCTACCAACATACTTTATGAAGATTCCAATCTAATACATATTCGATGTATGTTCATTAACTGTTTGTGAATTTATTTACTGTTTAGGAAAATTATATGATATTTATTTCAATAAAAATGTTAAATAATAATATTTTTTATTGTGAAAATAATAGCTATAGTTTGCCAGCATGTCAGTTCCACTTTTACAAAAGATACAAGAAATATCAAAATGGTCTAATGTAAAAATAAGTTACTAAAAATTTTTATTTTGATGCTTATAAAAATTAAGATAAGCCAAATCACATTGCTGTGCAGTACTTGATAAGCCAAACAGTACAATATAACAGTATAACTGCACATGTTGCTTTCATGACTTGACATTTTGTCTAAATACACCACACACTTGTATTATTCAGACAACTTTATCATGCATACAAATAATATTCAGTAGCTATGTATTTGGTCTCAGTTCTATACAAGGAACCTGATTTTTGTTGTGGTGAATCTATATTAGAATCTTAATAGCAAGAATTTTTATTTTTCATTTAGCTACATTTCCTTATTCCATAATTAAAATCTGCTGAACTGAAGCAACGCAACACTCAATAATATACTGGATTATTATATAGCAGATATAGCTTGTACATGTATTGTACTTTCACAAAACATTCAGTAGTCAATTTGCTGGTTTGAAAGCTGTAATGCAGTGTATGGAATTTTTTCATACAAATCATATTTAATTTAGTCACCTAAAACAAGATCTACCCTGTGCCCTGTTCTATGTTCATTGGCTATTTCAGTAATAAAATCTATTTAAGTAGGTATTTACAATATTTAATAAATATGTTTTCCAGCATATGAATATGATGACTACTACTTTATAGAGGAATTTATGAATCAGGTTTTGTTTAGAAGGGTCTTATAATTTTTACATAACCATTGAAAAAAAAATACAGAGAAAAATAAGTTTAATTCAATAACATCGAACTCTAGTTACCAATCCTATGAAATGAGGCATTTCTTTACAACAGTACAGGATTCTTATTCATATAAAATTTTATTGAAAATGTTATCTATTGAGTACGCCTTCTCTTAAAACCTTTACCTTTCTTTGACTTCAGTTTATGCTTCCGTGATACACGATTACTGCTTGTACCCGTGATTTCATCAGCGATCATACCTACAGTAGATAATTTTTTCCTGCGGTTTTTCTCTGCTTTTGTGACTGGCAGACGAGTTAAATAATTCTCTTCATACTCTGTTTTTTCTTGTTCGTATTTGGATATTGACTGTTTAACATGATTACCTGTGCTGACTTCTAATGGAGCCTCAGAATACTCTTCACGCAGTTCACGCATTATGCTTGAGTTCAAGAACTGTTTCTTAGATTTCTCTTTCATCTTTTTATCATTATCAACTCTTGAGGTGCTTTCATCAAAGTGTACAGCCGCTAATTTAGGTGGCACATAAATATTCGATTTACTAGCCTTGTCTGTCTTAGTCTCACCCTCATCTGAAGATTCACTAGATTCTTCTGCAGACTCATTTATTTTACTCACTAAGTTTGCGGGATTGGCGTGAAATGCTTGTGGATCATCTTCAGATGTGCCACCGACAACAGCAGTTTTAACAAGTTTGTCAATTTGATATTTTAGTTTGGAGTCTATGGGACGAATTTTCTCAAGTACTGTTCTTATTTCAATAAGCCTTTCAATTGATGGGTCTGATTCTATCCTTTCACCAGAGCATTTTCTTAGAACTATGTAAGTCAAATTAATTAAATAACTAAGAAGCATTTGATATTTCATTTCTAGAAAACTAAGACCTTTATCTGTAGAGAGTTCTCCGCTTTTGACGCGTACTAGCATGTTGTCCACGAGTTGTGATACTTGCTGAACGTTAGTGTTCATTTCTTTTAGCAACTTAACAGCTTGAGGCAGGTCAGGCTGCTCTACTTCCTCTGAAGCCTGGAATCAGGATACAGTTTAATAAGAGTCAACACTTGTCTCGTTTACCATGAAGTTTTATTTAATGTTAACGCTAATTAGCTTTGGTGAATTAGTAAAACAATAACTTTGTTTTAATAAAATCACTAATCACATGGTCTAAATAAAGTTCAAAACAATCACCTGAACCATTGCTGTGCAGTTAACCTCTCCTAAAATAAAATATGTCCTGTTGAATGTTTAGTACGGTAATTTTGAAGCTTAACTTGATATTCAATCACTAATGCACTTTTTACAATAATATAATCTCTTAAATTAGTCACTGAAAACCCGTCTACTGTGCGTGTGACGCGCGGCAGGCGCTATTCGTTCGGTTCGGTTGATAGGCAACTATGGACAACTACATAAACTAGGGGTGGACGATATACATCGATGTTTTAAAAACACTCGATGTATTGTATCGATGCATCGTATTGAACCGATGTATTGTTAATACTTCAACATCGAATACATATCGATGTTTTTCATTCGATACATCGAATACGCAAATGGGGATCCACACTGCGTATTTATCCCGTCAGATGGCGCATCGTCGATGGTTTGACTGACAACTGTCAATTTCATACATAATGGTGATTCTCAATCAGAATTATTAGGTTTTTTCTAATATGCCACTGTGTTAAGTACCAGGCTGTTTTAATCGTGGTAATCATCTTTTTCCAAAAGCTCCAGCATTGAAAAAAAGAAAGTGAGAAAGAGCTACAAAAATTATAACCTTTGTATCAACAGTAGACACGGATTATCACGGAAAATCTGCTATTATAGGATTGTAGAACTACTTTAGTAGTACGCTGCCCGTGCGTTTTTATTGTCATAAGTCGGCATTTCAGACCTAGAACTAACCTAAAATCAAACATTTTATTTTCTGACCAAAAATCTGTCTTAATCGTTTTGAAGTGCACATTAATATGACCACATTAAATTAGTTACTTATTAAGTCATCACTATAACAGGAATAACACATTAAATCAGGAAGTAATTTGTCAATCTTGTGGAAACGACACCTACCGTTGTATAAGGCTCTGTGATTTTAAATTTAAATACATATGTTTTCTGATTTTCTTAATACATGTTTTTGTTTTAATTAATGCCTAACCTAAAACAATCGATGTTTAAGAAACATCGATGTATTTCTCAATACATCGGATTACCATCGATGTAACTAAACGATGCATTACATCGAAAAAAACATCGATGTATTTTTTTAATGTCCATCCCTAACATAAACCAAAACGAAGATTAAAATACCTGTCACAGACTATTAAACCATAGACTATACAATATATACTGAGATATATTTATTAATCGATATATTATATTAACCGAGATATATATATTAAACTACGGATAAGGAAGGGGGCACCAAAAAACAAAAAACAACTTTTAGTCTATACTTATACCAAATCCATCATTTTTTTTTACAACTAGGTACAGTTTAGACTGAAAACGAGTAGTAGTAAAGTTTTTTTATAGGACCACTCGTAGTTCAGCATGCTACGGCTGTTAACTACTTAACCGGACTAATCCCTGCGGTGGCCTCTATAAGTTAAGGCCCCCAGCCAGGGCAACAAAATATACTTAAGCTAAATGACCGCGTCGCTGAGGGCACCCTTTTAATTATTTAACATACATATTAATTTATACTTCGTTATACACAATCTACACGTAGAAGCCCATCATACTTTATCGCGTATCGTTCTTTTACCTTTCCGCTTTTTACCGAGAGGTATCTCGGCACATGCTTTTGGGATGCAGCCTGTTTTTCTGCCTTTTTATTTCACCGTAAAAGTAAAACCGGGTGAGTATAATTTGAGGAGTGAATACATGTTGGAAATTTGCCCTAGACACCTGGGTATCTATTCAACTCTCTTCTGCCTCTATTCACCCAGTCTCACTTATGTAAAACTAAAACAATGATTAGACGGGAAGAAGGACGGTGGCTGGCACACATCACGACGCTTATTATAATCAGGGTTATCCGTCTTCTTGTTTGCCACAATATACCTAATAAAACCTTTTATAAAATTAAAGATACGATAGCGTTTATGCAATGTCGGGTTTCCGATAATCCATCGGAACCTACTCAACCTTTTTTATATACGGGCCACAAATACGTTTTAGTCATGGTGTCGCGGGCCGCAAGCAAAAATTACAGTAGGAGAGCCACGCTCAAAGAGGCACATTGCCTATTTGGTCGTCCGCCCGACTTTTACATGAACGCGATTTTATCTAATGTCACATTTGACATAAAATTACGTATTTGACAGAAAAATTGGTTGGGGAGAAGTGGCAAATAGATAAATGGTAAACGCGACGAAACAAGCTACTGTAGAATGATTTATTTTAATTTTGTCTAAATAATATTTGTTACAATATGCTACCGGTGCGTATACAATAACTTTCACTGCGTTCATTTTCTTCATATTGAATTGAAATTAATAATAAATATCTTTTGTAGGTTCTTTTACATTGCTTTTTACTAAGCAGCTTCGTTAACTTTAGTAATGGATTCTATGTTCCCGGGGTGGCTCCGGTGGAGTTCAAAAAAGGCCAGAGAATTGAAGTTAAAGCTGTTAAAATGACAAGTATACACACACAACTTCCATACGAATATTATTCTTTACCTTTGTGTTTACCCAAGAATGGTACGTTTGTATATAAATCAGAGAATTTAGGCGAAGTATTACGTGGAGACCGCATAGTAAACACTCCGTATGAAGTTCATATGGCTGAGAACATTAAATGTAGACTTCTATGCCATCAGAAAAATAATCCTATAAACTGGAGTGTTGAAGAATCTGAAAAAGTGGCAGGTCGCATTGAACATGAATATTTTGTGCATTTGTAAGTATACAGTTTTATTTTTAATGTTAATTTTTAGTAAGTACATTAATTATACAAAAATGCTAAATGATTATCCTTATTATCTATTTAGTTGCGTCTAACTTTAAAATTACCTTCTAGGCTTGTTGATAATTTACCAGTAGCTACCAGAATTACAAACAGTGATACTTCTGAGAGAAATATAGAGCAAGGATATCGTCTTGGTTTTATGTCGAAAGGCAAAGCATATATCAACAATCATTTGAAACTTTTACTCAAATATCATAAACATAGCCAGTAAGTATAACATTATCAATTTATGCTTCTTTTACAATTGATTTTTTATTATTTTTCTCTTTTATATGTCTTTGGATTTATTATAGATTAAATTAAAATTTATTATGTGTGAGGAATAAAAAAATTTGGATAGCAATGAGGCATCATATTTATTTTACATTAAAGCACGCACATACAAAGTCAATGTTACAGCATTTATTTCAATAAGTTTTCCCTATGTGGTTTAATGAACATATTTTTTATGCATATATCAATGTTGTACAGGCTGTTGGTGTGTAACAAAAGTATTCAAATTTGAAATGAATAAAATTGCAATACAAACCATTGTGATTTTTCAGAGACTCTTACCGAGTGGTTGGCTTTGAAGTGGAAACTGTTTCAGTAGACAAAGATGAACTGACCTTTGTTGATGATTCATGCCAGTTTCCGTCGGACCCTAGACCTCAGCTGGTCAATGAGGACACAGGCACTAAGTTATATTTCACATACTCTGTTGAGTGGGGAGAGTCTGAAATAAGCTGGGCATCAAGATGGGATATATACTTAGGAATGAAAGATGTACAAATCCATTGGTTTTCCATTATAAACTCTATTGTAGTGTTGTCCTTTTTATCAGGTAAATTATTAATTTTCTACTTAAAGCAGTTGTATAGCGTATGCAATAATATTATAATTTATGTAAGTTAGTTCAGCTGTTCAATTGAATAATAAATAAACATGATAGAGAGAACTCACAACATAAGCCACAAAAAATATGTGGATTAAAAATACCTAAATGGTTCTTTTCATACAAAATATTTTTTTTTCTATTTGGTAATTTACAGGGATTTTGACAATGATAATGGTGCGCACATTAAGAAGAGATATTGCTCGATATAATTCAGATGAGAGTATTGATGATATGATGGAAGAAACAGGCTGGAAGTTGGTACATGGTGATGTATTTCGTCCACCACCAAAAAGAATGTTATTTGCTGCTGTTATTGGTAGTGGCATACAAGTGTTTTTAATGACCCTCATCACAATATGTAAGTTCATCTTCTTTTTACAATCCTAAAGTTTCTGGGCAGGCATGGTTTGAGTTTTGATAAGTGGTGTTAGCATAACAAGTTTGGCAAAATGATTTTGATTTTAATCTCTAAACATTGATTAATTAAAACCATGTAATGATGTAAAGCAATTTCGGTTATTAAATAAACACACATTGATAAAAGTAATCAGTAAAATTTTAATTGTGCTACTCTTTCCTCAATTTGAACTTTGAGGATTACAACAATATTGATAAAAAATATCTGCTTTTTTATATTTTGCTTTACATATTAATTAATAAATTTGCTTAACTAATATTTTTGTAATTTTCAGTCATTGCTATGCTTGGCATGTTGTCACCGGCGAGCCGCGGTGCGCTAATGACTGCCGCCATATTTCTCTATGTGTTCATGGGTCTCATTGCGGGCTATTACTCGGCACGATTGTACAATACTATGAAGGGAAAACAATGGCAGCAGGCTGCGTTTCTAACAGCGACTCTGTACCCAGCTATTGTGTTTGGAACATGTTTCTTTTTAAACTTTTTCATTATGGGTAAACATTCCAGTGGTGCAGTTCCATTTTCGACTATGATGGCTTTATTGTGCCTTTGGTTCTGCATATCATTGCCACTAGTTTATTTGGGATATTATTTTGGCTGTCGAAAACAACCATTTCAACATCCAGTTCGAACTAATTTCATTCCAAGGAAAGTCCCCGAACAAGTTTGGTACATGAACATATTTATTTGGTAAGACCTTTTACTTTACTTTCAATGTTATTGTAGCAACTAAACAAAGTAACAGTTATGCGCATCTAATTAAATATAGATTGTTGGTTGTCTTCAGAATAAAGGTATGATTCCGAAACTCGCGCAGCAGAGCAGCAGTGCTATTCTGTAAATTGTAAATCTCATCTCGGAAGTCACACCCCACTTCGCATCTCATCTCGCCTTTACACAAACGTCAAATACTCACTTGAAAACAAGTGAAAGGAATTAGTTCCTTTCACTTCGTTGTTCACATGGTGGCGCCAGTGTAGATTTCACTCCATTTAAGAATACAAACTTTTCAATAAACATGATTTCCCCGCAGATTCCGAAGGGATTTCGTAAATTAACTTTTGAGAATAGCATAGCTGCCGCGACACTACTTATCGCCATACAATATTTATATGCATAAGTGAGATTTCACTGACAGAC